CACACACACACACACACACACACACACACACACACACACACACACACTCCGTTAGCTGAGTCCATGTGCTCCACACCACTGCTTCTGTGAGACGAATGCTGCTCCATGGACAGGCTGCTGCACTGGTCCCTTTAAACCACTGTAAACTGTAAATGTTAAATTATAATTTCTCTCAGTCCTCTTAGTCTGAAGTGTATATTTATTTTCTTCTTTTATTTCTGTTTATTGTTGTTTTTTGTCCTGATGTAACCGGATACAGCAGAGATGACAATAAAGTTTGACTTGAAATGGTAAAGAAATTATTAGTTGATGAGTTTGTGATCGATCGTTAACTGCTGATTATTTTGACCTCATTCTGATTTCTGTGTGGTTTCACATTTATTTTGTTTTATTATTCTTATAAAGTATAATGAACTCGTTTATTTTACTCTGTGAAGCCAATTTTATTCTAACATAGTTTTTCACTGAATTTTCTTTCAGTGATTAACTGTGTGTTATTTTCTCCACCTGGTGTTTCTGTTTCTCCTGGTGTCTAATGCTGGGCTACACTGCGCGATGTTTTTCATTAGTGTTATTCAGCTCCTGCTCAAACTGCACGATTGACTCGCAGGGGTTAGAAGTTCATAGGTCACGATGCTCTGATGCGACCTGAGCCACACTGTGCGTCCGTAACATGAAGGTTATCGCTCTCCCTCTCTGTCTCTCACTCACACCACCACCAGCTTGGCTAAATTGCTGATGAAAAACACGATCAGCTGTGACTGAGCAGCATGTAGATCCAACTATTTTCACGGTCGTTGTGGTCGTGATCATTTTGTGAGGCCACATCAAAAGTTGTGCCTCCGTCGCTTGTGTCCCGATCACAGGCTGCACCGCTGCTCCGTCTTTTTCGCTGACACTTGTGTTTGCGCGTGCGCAGTGTGAGAAGCTGCGCTGACACCCTCACGACGGTCGCGAGGATTTCAAATCAAGCGATTGATGATCGGGAGCTGGTCGTGAGGTGTTAATCGCGTCTCGTTACCCCGCGTATACGACACGACGCACGATGAAGGCCAAAATCGGGCCGATCACCAAAACGGTCGCACGACTCAAAACGGGCCAAACGTCGCACAGTGTCTGCCCAGCATTACGCGGAGCTTCCACAGTGTGTTTGTCCAATAACAACAAGAGCCTGTTCTGGTCTGTATGTGTGAATCACGGAGGTGAAAAAGATTTTCTCCCCGTCGGGGAATCGAACCCCGGTCTCCCGCGTGACAGGCGGGGATACTCACCACTATACTAACGAGGAGTAGTTCTTTTCCTAATCCTGCAGTACTCGTTTTATCCACAACGTGTATTACCTGAACGCGACCATGACATAACTACGATGGTCGGCCTGCCCCCTGCTGTCTGACAGCAGTACTACAGCTGATAACAGCAGGAGGGGACATTTCGACAGTTTAGAAATCTTTTCACTTATTAAGAAACCAAACAAACAAAAACAAAAAGCAAACATGCAACCTCATAAAAAAATAACGGAAGTGAATAAAAACAATAAAACATGTAAAACTAACAGGTGTTTTCTGTACCTCGTGCCTGACGTGGACAGGTGTCTGCAGCCTGCATGGCCATGAGGCTGAGAGCTGTGCTGCTAACAGGCTCAAATAATATGAGATCAGAGCGTGGGGCAGACACCTCAAACACTCCACCCTCTCCGACTGACCCACAGCTGTCCTGCTGATGCTGACAATGGAGGCTCTCCTGCACACTCTGGTATTGGAGCTGCTGCTGTGACATGCTCCTCTCACAGGGAGCTGCTGCTCACTGGAGATTTCCTCATGTTGGACCATTCCCAGTAAACCCTGGAGCTGAAAACCCCAGCACAGCAGCCTGCGTGACGTCAACAAACCTGTTCAGCCATCTTTGTCCTGATGGTCGCTCTGAGCTCCACATGAGCTGCTGCTGCTGTGGGACAGGTGTACCTAATAAAGTGACAGCTCAGCGTGGTGAGACCTGAGCCAACGTTTTTACTGTTATCAGCAGCTTCCTTACAAAGTTCTGCAAACTGTGTGAAGCACAAGAACAAGGAAACAGGCAGAGCAGCCACTTTATTGGGTACACCGTTAGTCCAAATATTTAATCAGCCAATCACAGGCCTGCTCTCAGCATTTAGGCGGGTAGACATGTGGAGATGACCTGCTGGAGCTCAGACCGAGCATGAGGCTAAAAGCTGACTGAAGGTACGTTGTTGATGATGTCAGACAGGCGGAGTCAGTTACCTGAGTTACACTGAGTGACTTCTTCACTGTTTACATGAAAACTTTATTAAACACATTAAACACAGTCTGACGATGGAGTTTATTAACAAACATCGCTCCTGTCACAGCTCACAGAGGACACGTGTCACTCAGGGGCGAGGGCGTCCACCTGTGACATGAGTGACGTCACTCCTGAGGTGAGTGCAGCAGATTCATTTTGCTTCTTGTGCAGAGAACGTTCGACTGAGGCTTTCTGAGACGTTCCAGATGGGAATTCAAACACTTTCATAATCAGGTCGGTGTCACACGGCGCTGCTCTCCTCCTCCTTCTCTGATTGGTCTGGCCTCCTCTTTGCTTCCTGTTTGGACCTCCAGACTCCTGCAGGAACACAAACACACTTCCTGTCACAGATCCAGGCTTTCTCTGAGTTCAACAAAAACTAAACCTCAGTCAGAGATAACGGGGTCAGGGGTCAGGGTGGTGGTTGTCAGCTTTCAGGCCCTGAATGAATGTGATTGGCTGAACAGGTGTGACAGTGTGTAAATGATCAACGATGAGCCCGAGCTGACCCAGTGTTAGTCTCAGCAGTTATGCAGATGGAGTGTTTATAATGTTGGAAACCTGCAGTCAGCTGAGACACGAACACAGAAGTGTCTATGCTCATGTCTCGACAAAGCAGCAGCTTTACAAGAGTCAATAATGGAGGTGAAGAACATCACGCCTCCCCGTCGGGGAATCGAACCCCGGTCTCCCGCGGGGATACTCATACTGTGCAGTACCAGCTGTGACCACTAAATGACTGCATGTATGTGGGTGGCGCTGTTTACCACTCCTCCACAGTGAAGGTTTATTGTGACCACAGCTGCAGTACCGCTTTCAACCACAACGTGAACGTATAGGAGAGTGGCGCTGTTTCACAGGTTCGACAAAAACGAAAAAAGAAAAACATCAAAAACTGTTTTTAAATGTGTGCAAGCAGTGTGTGTGTGTGTGTGTGTGTGTGTGTGTGTGTGTGTGTGTGTGTGTACTGACTGTAAGCTGCGGTCAGCAGCAGAGCTGGGATGAAGACGAGGGAGGAAGCTCTCACTGTGTTTCCAACAAACGTCTGCAGAACGTTTACCTGCTGCTCAGCTGACTGTCAACAAACAAACAAATACAAATAAAAACAAACAAAGAAACACATAACACATCAACACATATACACAAAGTGTTTGTACCTGAACCAGAGCCACCACTGGCTGCGTGGTGTCGTCTCCTGTGATGTCACTTCCTGCCTCCTGGGCGATGTGACCTGGCCAACAGATGATGCTTATTTACGTCTGACTCGACCGCACTTTGTGTTCAGATTTAAAGATGCTGAACATGAGGACGTGTTTGTGTGACGCTCACAGGGTCACGGCTGTGACCTCACGTTAGCAACAGCTGCAGGGTAACGCCGCGTCACACAAACAGCTTCCTGTACTGACAGCATGAAGCATCAGCGAGCAGCTTCCTGAAGCTCCAAACGAACACTAAAATATAATTTCTCTTCCTTCTCTTTCTTTAAGTCCCAACTCAAAACTCACTAGTTCAAAATAGTTTATCCCACATAACCTCTCCACTCGGCTATTTTAAATGTGTCTTATGTCTTATGCTTTTATGATTGTGTAAACTGCTGGCTTTTATGTTGCTTTTTTCATTGCTGTGTACAGAGAGCTTGAGTGTTCTGAAAGGCGCTTTCAAATAAAATGTATTATTATTATTATTATTATTATTATTAATGACCAGCAGGGGGCGACTCTTCTATGAGTGTAAAGACATGCAGTGAGAAAGAGAACGGTACCTGTGGTGGTGTGCGGTGCGTTCAGGTCCCCGTCTGAGAGCTCAGTGTTTTCTGTTACGGCCACAGAGCGAGCTGCAGGCGAAAGACAAACAAACACTTTGAGAATTTCATGTTGTTTTCAGCGCTCTGAACAGGCATGTGTGGACGTACGGCTGCTGAGGATGATGAGGTGGACAGTGAAGGTCTGGTCATTGAAGAGTCCGGGCACCTGAACTCTGCAGTGGTAGAAACCCGAGTCTGACGGCTGTGAGTGGAAGATGGACAGAGAGGAGGAGGAGGCAGACACAGAGTACCTGCACAGGAGGGACGAAGGCCGGTTTTACTCCACGTGCTGACAGGAAGCTACAGTCTGCTCTGATGGGACGCACACCTGCGCTCACCTCTGTGACTTCCTGTAGGTGATGCGGGCTGCAGCGCTGTTGATCACAGCGTTGTGGCAGGTGAACAGTGAAGGTTTGCCCCGCCCCCAGCACACCTCCACTCCGCCCTGTTTGCCTGCCCCTGTGCGACACGGCAGCATCACCTTTGTCCCGACGTGGCCCACCACTGTCTCCATGGTGACCGCTGACACACAGGTCAACGCTGACAGGAAGACAAACACAGGAGTGAGTTAAAGAGACACCTGATGATGTCAGAGCGGACAGCCGATACTGGAAACCATCATCACCAGTCTGACTGAAGCTGCTGCTCCAGCAGACACGATGTCACGGCTCGCCGCTGAGCGCCGAGGCTTCCAGACGAGCTGCAAACACTGAGAGTCAGCCCCAGAAATCAGAAACGGTTTTAAAAACGAACAGCAGGAAGAAAGAATGTGAGTCGTGTTTTTTTGAACTCTTATTCATGAATATTCAGAGCACACAGCGGCAAACCGAACGAGCTTTCAGACAGGTAAATGGCCTGCATTTGTATAGCGCTTTACTCGTCCCCAAGGACC